ACAACATTTAAAGCTTACTCCTGGGCTTCCTTATAGTGAGACCTATTCGATCAATTATTTCTAGTTAGTCATTTAGAAGACTAGCCCACTTTGCTAGTATACACGTTAAAAACTCTAAATTCAAACCTTGATTCACATCAAGCATTTTCTTCTAAACAAATCAAAACACTTAATAAATACTTAAATACAATTTCGATAATAGATGAAAAAGAGAGATATCCAAGTCTTTGGTTCACTCTCCCAATTGTTTGGGTCCGAGAAGTCTTTCTTAAGCTCGAACAATTGTCTTCTAAAAATGATAAACAAATTCAAATCTATTTTCCTAAACACTTAGATGAAAAAGAGAGAGTTCCAAGTCTTTGACTCGCTTTCCCGATTACTTGGGTCCGAGAAGTCTTTCTTAAGCATCGAGTAATCATCACCCGATTAATTCACTCTAATTATATCAAACATATTTCATAATATTAGATGAGAAAAGGAGAGAGCTCCAAGTCTTTGGTTCACTCTTCCGATTACTTAAGGTCCGAGAAGTCTTTCTTAAGCTTCAAATAATCCTCATCCGTTAAAATACTTTAATCACATCCCATCGTTCAAAGCCTTCCAAACACAACCACTCTTTAGGATGAAAAAAAGAGAGCTCCAAGTCTTTGGCTCACTCTCCCGATTACTTGGGTCCGAGAAGTCTTTCTTAAGCCTCGAGTAATCGTCATCCGATCCACTCACTCGAAACATATCCAATCCTTTCACACAGATGAAAAAGAGAGAGCTCCAAGTCTTTGGTTCACTCTCCCGATTACTTGGGTCCGAGAAGTCTTTTTTAAGCTTCAAGTAATCGTCATCCGATCAATGTATTTGAACCGTACTCAATTCCTTCATATTTGAGGATGAAAAAAAGAGAGTTCCAAGTCTTTGGTTCACTCTTCCGATTACTTGGATCCGAGAAGTCTTTCTTAAGCTTCAAGTAATCGTCATCCTCTAGCTAAACAACTAACTAACTTCGTTGTCTCGTCCCCGTGCGACCAAAACCCTAAAAATTATTCAAATCTATCCTCTTTTCCGAACCAAAATACTTAACACATCAAATTCTTTTCTTCGCCCCCGTGCAACCTACATTCAAACAACTCTTTTGCAAAGAACATTGTTTAGTCCTTTCTTCCGCACATATGAACTATTGCTTCAGCCTCCCCTAGTGAGCAGACAAGCCAACATTTAGCAGTTAGAATACGACCTAAACTCTCGTTCGACTCAAGCACACCTTTTACCAAGAACATTGTTTAGTCCATTCTTCTGTGCATATGAACTCGTGCTTCACCCTTCCCTAGTGAGAAGACAAGCTAATGTTTAGTAGTTAGAATGCGACCTAAACACTCGTTCCATTCAAATACAACCATCTTTTCACGATGAAAATGAGAGATAGTCAAGTCTTTGACTCGCTTTCCCGATTACTTGGGTCCGAGAAGTCTTTCTTAAGCTTCGAGTAATCGTCATCCGTACCATCTTCAAACCTTTTACCGTAGTTGGCCGAACTACGGCTGCTCTGATTCCTTATTTCCTAATAAGGATACGTAGGCATGAGGATCTCTATCCTTGACGAGCACACTAACAACTAACTTCCCCTTTCTCTTCCCCCAGTGCAATCGAGACCAACCTGTTATTCAAAACCTTTTCTCTCGCCCCAGTGCGATTGAGACCTATTCCTGTAGTTGTACAAACTACGGACGCTCTGATTCTTCATTCTCTTTTGAATGTAAGATACGTTGGCACAAGATTGCGATGATCTTGGCGAGCACATTTCCCTCTTTTTCCCGTAGTCCCACGAACTACGATGCTCTGACTTTCCCATTGCACAAGGGAGTACATAGGCACAAGGGCCCCAATCCTTGGCGAGCATCCTATCTTAAAACCACCCATTCCCCTCTAGCAAGCAATTCCTTAGAAGATAAACAAACAAGCGTATCTAATTTCTCTCACAAATCGAATCAAGAGGTTCCCGTTGAGTACAACGGACGTAGAGGGTGCTAATACCTTCCCTTTGCATAACCGACTCCCGAACCTAGAATATTGGTTGTGATGACCATGTTCTTAACTCCTTAAAGGTTTTATCGATATTTTCCTATTCCTGCCTTGGAATGAATAAAGTTCGGTGGCGACTCTGTTCGAACATTTTTTCCGCGTCCATCGCGAGGATCGTATTTTTCGAGGTACGACACTAATATATTTTGTTTGTTTAATCATTTAGGATGTATGATGAACATATATTTGAAGTAAGGCACCTAGAAAATCAAGCTGACAAGTTTGTTGTGAACCTGAAAGATCAGATATGTTCATGTAGAAGATGGGAACTCACAGGACTCCCATGTGTTCATGCTCATTCTGCTATGAAGAGTAGGAATTTCAAAATTGATACTTACATTCCAGATTATTATAGGGTTTCAAGGTACAAGACAATTTATAAGCATGTGATCTACCCTGTTAATGGAGCAAACTTGTGGGTTAAGACACCATATCCAGATGTACAACCACCCAAGTTCAGGATGATGCCTGGTAGACCTAAAAAGACGAAGAACCTAGAACAAGGTGAAATTGATGGGTCTGCTTGCAAATTGAGAAGAACAGGTTTTCTGGTGAAGTGTAGTAGGTGTCAGAAAGCAGGACATTACAAGTCTACATGTAAGGACACAACAACTCAGACTACTCAACAATCAACCCAACCCTCTCATACTCCAACTCAGACTGCTCAACAACCAAGCCGATACACTTCTACTTCAACAACTCAGCCTACTCAACAACCAAGTCAACCCTCTCAGAACAAAGCAACACACATTGCTAAGAGAACTTCTACTCAACAATCTAGCCAAGCATCTCAGACTTCTAAGGGAAAGGCTGCTCAGAAGACATATGGACCTGCTAAGGGCAAGACACAAAAGCTGTCTGTAAGGAAGCCAACAAGACCTTTTGTGCCACCTGGGCCTACAACTAGGTTGAGTGCTGCCAAGAATGTTGTTGGCCCAGTAACAAGGAGGTCTACTCCAACAAAGAGGACCACGCCAAAGAAGAAACTCTAGTTGTGGAACATGTGTATCAATTGTGTTAAAAGCATAACCTATTTTGTGGAACATGTGGGGAATGTATTACAAGTTTATGTATTCTGGTGTTGTTGTGGAACATGTGTATCAGTTGTGTTAAAAGCATAACCTATTTTGTGGAATGTATTACAAGTTTATGTATCTTGCTGTTGTTGTTGTTGTTTATGTATCATGTTGTCATGAACTTTATGTTAAAAGCATAATCAACTTATAGGTATTATGAAATGAACCTAAAAGCAGAACCTGTCATGAACTTTATGTATTATGAAATGGACCTGTCATGAACTTTATATTACTATGATCATGTCTAATGTGGTGTAAAAATGCAGACAAAATTAATAGACCAACTTTGACAGGTCTATAACAGACCAAGTAAACATAAAAAACATAACATACCAAATATATCATTGATAGACCAAATTAACATAATCTTTAATTGTTGGTTATGCTTTGACAGACCAAATTAAAAACACTTTAACATGATATTTATCAATGCATACCAAGTTAACATTATCTTTAATTGTTATATTCATGTGAAACTAATACAATCCAAAACGAAAACTAATACATTCATGTTGAACTACAAAAAATGAAATTAACTAAACTGATACAGGATTAAAATCCATATATTAGAATCCAACTATTACATTCATGTTGAAGTGATACAATCCAAAACTGATACAAACTTTAACTGAAGTTAAACCTAATTCTTACAACCAAAACTTAACTAAATTCTTACAAACAAACCATAACATACTACTTCCAAACAAACCTTAATACACTAACTACTTCTAACAACTAATACAATGATAATCATCACAAACATCAAATTCAAAATCTTTTTCCACTTCATCATATTCTTCATTTCACTTTCACGTTTCATCAGTTTTTCCCTAATTCTTCATTCTCCATTGTCACTTTTTCAATGTCCTTTTTTCCTTCAGCAAGTCCCTTAGTTACGACATCCAGCCTATGCATCCAAAATTGCTCATTCTCATCACCCATCTCCTCATAAAACCAACCAAAGAAACCATAATTAGCTTACATACCTCCTTGTAAGTTTCATTGTTTAGAGGATGATGAATAATGAATTTAAACATAAACAGAAATATCACTTATAATTTGGACAGAAACAGAAAAAGAAACATAACTTAAACAAAAATAGAACATCAACAGAGAACAAAACCAGTTTGCATACCTTATAATTTGGACAACCCCAAAAAAGTTTTCCCATATTCTTAACAGTAGTTGCCCTTTGAAGAACAACCATGTCTCCACAATGGCATATGGGCTTCCATCGTGACCTACTACAAACATCTGAATCTCGACTTTCCGATTTCAACATGGAGGAGGAACAGTCGAATTTCATGCTTGCCAAATAAAAAAACCCTAGATTAATTTAGGGATTTGGGATTGGGATTGGGATTGAGAAATCACAATCGCACAATGTGAACAGAAGGAGGAAGGAGAAGGAAGCAACATGATGGACACAATTGCCAGGTCATCTTCCATATATACAAAATAAACGGACGTTTGGGGACAACTGACGGTGAGGACTAAATTGACACCATTTTAAGAGTTAATGAGACTAACTCGACACTTTTTAAAGTTAAGGGACCAAACTGAACCCCGAGTTAAAGTTAAGGGATCAAACTGAATCTCGAATTAAAGTTAAAAAAACGAAAAAGAGTATTTTGTCATTAAATTAAAAGATTAAGAGATTAATTAAGTTTTTAATTTCTCTAATATTAAAAAAAAAATACTAAATGATTGTAAAACTATTTTTTATAATATTTTAAATATTTTTTTCAAAAAATAATCAAGAAATTAAGAAAAATTAAACAAATTTAGTTTTAACGTTATTAAACCATCGACATCCTTCCTTCATAATCGTTATTCAGTGGGAAGAACACGATGGGAGCAGAAACTGAAGCGAAGGAAAATCACGAAAAAGAGACGCCAAGAGCTTCTCAAACAACTCCTCTCACACAAGACCAGTTCCTCTCATGGAAGCGACACAAGGTCTCTTCTTTCCTTCTTTCCCCTTTTCTTAATTAGGTTTTTTTTTTCTTCATTGCGTCTTCGATTGATGGCTTTTAGATTAACAGTACAATTTTCTAGTAATTGCAATTTTGTGTTTTTTTATGATAATTTTATTGAATTCTTGTTATGATTTTTTATTTTATTTTATAAATATTTAAAATTATGATTGTTATTAGGTTCAGAATTAGGGAAAGAAGATTTTCATCTTTTATAGGGCAATTTTTATCATCAATCTAAACACTTTTGACTATAAATCAATTGGGCCATCGTTATTGAGTCCCACTCCATGTGTTCAAGCATCTCTCGTTATTGGATTATATAAGTCTTTTGAAGAGTTGAGTTTTCCCCAATCTAAATTCTAAAATAAGTTACACTTAGGACTCAGGTTACGTTGCAGCTTAGAAATTAAAGTTCAGGTTTCTTTATTGGGCCATGGTGCTCTATAATCTTGTATGATCAGTGTTTTGAAGTCTAAAAAACAGCCTTGATAACATCTAAACCGGGATTACCTAGATCTATGATCAGTCTTAAAACCGTCCAAAACTCGACTTCTCCTTAATTACATACAATAAAGAAATCATATCCATTGTCGTTTTGGTAAAAAGGGTCACAAGAAAATCAAACAAAACATAACATAGCTCAAAAAGATGAGACTCTAGTCTTAGGAAAACCTTGTCCATTAAAGACCAGTGTTATCGAATATCAACCATGGCGGCACTATGGCAAATATCAAAGATGGTTTTTGGGCTCGCCACAATGGTAAATATCGGCCGATATTGCGGGTTTTTTCTGCTATAATATGCATATGATGGCGCCATAAAGTGGCCGGTATGGCGGGGTTTTGGTTCTCCGCCATGGACCGCCACCATCTGCCATGGGCAATACCGTTAAAGACCACTTTTAACAATGTGTGGTGCTTTAAAGAAAGCAACGTTTTGCTCAAAATGATGAAGAGGTTACTTGGTTGAATAGGTTGAAGCACTTTTAAGATAATTGTTTGTGAAACTTTTTGCTCTATTGCAGGGAATCACCAATTTAATCCTTTTTCTAAAATGCTAGTATCTGGATTGCTTTCTGCAGGACGCAGCTGCATCAGCCAGAAAAGCTGAAGCCTCCAGGAAGCGGGCAGAGGATATTGCTGCTGGAACCGTCCAAATGAACGGCCGGGAGCTGTTTCTGCATGAACCATGGGTGTTTGATGACTCACGTTTTTGAGGTTTCTTTTGGTTGGCTCAAAGAGTTCTTCGCGGTCACATTCATTCTTGTAATTAGGTAGGGTTCATCCATGATTTATCATTATATCGGTGAAATACATACTATATCAAACCTTTTTTATGTAGCAATAGATTCTTAGAAATCTGAAGTTTGTCGCTTCGGCAAAGAAACCTTACTGAAAAAAAATGTTTCTACATAAGAACATGGTGGATCTTCCTCACGTCAAAAAATTTTAGTTGTGACCGGTTGGAGTGCGGCAGTTTATTATCTATCTTACAATGAATTTCTTCTCTGATAATAGCATTTCCATAGAGTTAAAAATTGGCAGTTTTAATATTTTCCTTACATAACTTTTACTTTCAAAGCTGTCTGACTAAGGTTAATCAGTTTCTTTTTGGTGTGCCTGAACTACTTACAAATATTGTTTTTATCACTTGCTTATTTCTTGAGTTTCATGAAACTAAGAATCATTTGTCTCTATCTTATAACTTTAAATTTGGGAGAGTTGTTATTTGGTATGGTATATAGAGTTCTTATGACCTAGACTTGAATACAAGTTGGAGTTAGTAAGTGCATGTTCATGCTTCACGTCTAAAGGCCAAAATTGTATTCCTGACATTCAGTTTTGTATGTATACATTTCATTTTTTTTTTTTTTTACCTTCGATAGGTTTGCAGTGAGTAGTGCTTAGCTAAAAGATTACGGAAACCCCTTGATCTTAGCTGTATATTCTTTTAATCGGGCATTAGAATGCAGTGTTCTATAATATGATATTGAAAGTTGTTTGTACTTTGTTCGGACCCCCACGATACTTAGATTTCTAGCCTGAATGTATAAACATATGAGAGCATCCTCATTATTTAAGCTAATTTAAGTATGAAATTCAAATTTACTTGACGCTAGTCCGTCCGCTTTTTATAATGCCTATGCGCGTAAAATATAAATCGTATTATTTTTATTTAATTTTAATTTTATTATTTATTATTTATAAAATAGTAGTAATAGATAATGGTGTAAAAGTTAATAAATTATCACATAACTACCCTTTATTAGAATGAGAAGTTAAAATTTAAAATAAAGACTGAAAATGGTATATTTGAAAAGAAAAAAGGTTACACCATAATCATGTTTTGCCTTTATATATAGGTATAGATATATAGGTATAGATGATATCAAATTTCGAGACATTTAAATATATAAATGTGTGAGGGCAACATTAATCTTTGATAAAACTTACTAAGTTTTAGGATGTGAATCAAACCCATTTAACAAGTTGTTGTACATTGACATAATGGTTATAATAATGGGTTAAATATGTAAGAGGTCCCTATAAATATAATAATTTTTAATTATAGTCCTTCAAAAAACTTTCTTCAAATAATGGTCCCCATAAAGATTTACGTCATGAAAAATGGTCTCTCCCGTTAATTTCCTCTAACGGAGGGTGATGTGACAAGTCACTGAGATCCTTGTCATGGCCACGTCTGATTGAGTTGGAATAATTGTTTTGTTATCATAAATAGTAGAGGAATAAAGTGTGAACCCTAATCCCTTTATTCACCGTCTCCATCTTCCTCTTATTTATTCCTATCATTCTGCTTCTTCTTTTTTTCTCACCCATCTCAGAAAAATGTCATCTTCATCTAGGTTAAGCAAAGGAGTTTCTTACTATTTGATGAGTCTGTGGAGTGAAAAGGTGTGGATACAATGGTGTTATTATTTCATACATGTGTAAGAACGGAAAGAACAAAGGTCGACTGTTTTAGAGGTGTCTGTATTGAAAAAACAAGGGAACTTGCAATTTATTTATTTGGGATGATGAAATTACAAAAGTCAAGGATGATGAGGAATGCGCAGATTCAGAATGGAGGAAGAACGATAGTAATGTGATGGAAATGCAAGCTTTAGAAACTCCAAAGGAGCTCTACAAATCATCCATGAAGAAGAACAAGAGTTTGAAGATGAAGATTAAGGCAAAGGTATTTTGGAGGAAACTGAGGACATTATGTGTTGTAGTTTCAGTTTTGGTCAATTTGTATTTATTAATTAGGTGTAATTCTTGATTAGGTGTAATCATCTGTAATGTTTGTGTAACTGTTAATCTTGTATAAGTGGTATGTTGTGAAATGTAACATGAATTGGTTTTGTTTGAAATACAAATTGATATGTTCTATTTGTAATTCATTTAGTATCGTTCAATGGGTATGTTGAATATGTAGCTTTAATTGTAGAACATAGTTTTGACACAACTTGACCTATAAATTGGACATAATATGAGTGTATAAATTGGACATTGTTTCAGCTAATTAAAATTGTTTTGTATGTCTAAAATTGAGTGTATAAAATTGACCTATTAGATGGCCTTAAAATTGATTGTATAAAATTGAAACCATATGGACTTATCAGCCAAGAAACATGAGTAGGAGAAACTAATCAACAGAATTCACATTGAGAGTACATCAGTACAATATTACAGGTTCATTAACTTAAAATTGAGAGTAGAACAGTATTCACATTGAGAAACTGATCAACAGTATTCACATTGAGAAACTGATCAACAAAATTCACATTGAGAAACTGATCAACAAAATTCACATTGAGAGTACAACAAAATTCATTAACTTAACATGTCATAACATGTTCATAAGGGTACATCAGTACAATATTACATTACATCAAAAGAACATGATTTTCTCAAAAGGCTACATCAGTACATCACATTGAGCAAAGAAGTACATTACATCAAAATATTTGTTCCTAAACAAATCCATCTGCCAAAAACTAATGCTTCATCGAGTTTGGCCTTTGCCATTGGTGTTGTCTTCTTCAGTTAGATCCAAAGGGTCATTGTTTTCTCCCTAGGGCCAGAAATGTTGTTTATTTTCAAGGTCCTCAATCTTTCATAATGCCTTTTTTATGCTGCAACATTGGTCCGTGTCTTGTACCTGCTCTTGGCCTTAAACTTAGGTGGTTCACTTGAATTTGGCCTTGAAAGATTTGTTCTAATACTAGGTGGTTTGAAAGGCTTATTCTTGCACACTTTGGGTTGCTTACCAAAAAAAACCTTGACATTACTTTGCTTTGGTGCAGTTGTCTTGAGAGGTGATTTATCAACCCTTAAAGGTTGAATATCCAAAACCTCGTCACCTCCTAATAATGCAACCAAAGTTTCATCCAATAAAGCACGTGTAGCATTGTCAGTTGGCTCACATGGTTTAGTTACCATTTCATCAGTTGGATTAGTTGGATCAGTTGGCTCACATGGTTCAGTGGCAGTTGGATCAATTGCCATATCATCAGTTAGATCAGTATTAACCTTTCCTTCATTAGCCTTACTTGACTTTTCTTCATTGACATAATCCATTCCTTAATTGGCACATGACTTTCCCTCATTGGCACATGACTTTTCCTCCTTGGCAGTTGAATTTATCTCCTTGACACATGACTTTTCTTCCTTGGCACTTGAGTTTCCCTCCTTTACAGTTGACATTGCCTCTTTGACATTTGACTGTGCCTGTTTGACAATTGACGTTGCCTCCTTGACACATGATTTCCCCTATTTGATAGTTGACTTTGCCACCTTGACAATTGACTCTCTCTTCTTGACACTTGATTTCTCATCCATGACAGCAGCTTCTTTGTTGAAAACTTGTTCTACATTAACAAATGCATCACTGACTATTCCCTCATTCACCTTTGTGTTCTTTGTTCCTCCCTTAGATGTGCAATTTGTGGTTGATCCCTTAGGCCTCCTCTGCATAAAACAAACAAATAATTCACATTGATATCATTGCATAAAATACCTAGATAAACAATCAGTAAATGTCAGATTTAAGTTAAACAATACCTTTTTTTGTGTGTTAAATTGACCTTACTAGTCTGACTTGCTTGTGTAGGTAAGTCTTAAGTGACTTGGTTTGGCAATTCTTGACTGAGCTGGGTGGGCAAGTCTTGAGTGGCCTAGATGGTATTACCAGAAGGAACAACCACAATCTGCTTGTTCTTCTTGCAGGTTCTTTTGTTGTGACCTAGTTCAAAACAAGCCTTGCACATATGGCTTGTATTGGTTCTTTGACACTTTGTCTTGTATTGGTTCTTTGCCACTTTGTCTGGTTCACTTCACCTGGCTATCTCCTTCTAAGTTTCTTGGGCCTACCTGGGCCACATTTAAACATAGGGGGCAATATGGTTTCATCTGATGTTTTTGGCCATTCAAAGGGGTGATAACTTCACTATAACATTTTTCATAAGTGCTTTTGTGATAACACTTATGCACATATTTCACAGAGTCATCCATTTTCCTATGTATAGCAGCCACACCATGTCTACAAGGAATCCCAACAAGATCTCAAAAGTTGCATGAACATGATTGTTTCTCTAAATCCACTACAAAACAATCAGTGAACAAAACATGTGTGACTTGAAAGGTTAACCTACCAGCATAGGTTGTTGTCCAACTAGACCTTTTTCACTCTCTATCTATCCTCCTTAATGGTTTTGTCATTATTTGTCCTTTATAACTATCTACCTTTTCTCTAAGTGTGGCAAACCTCCCCATTAGGTAATTCGTAATCCACTTAAATATTGTAATGATTAGTTTGTCTCTTTGTAACAAAATGGTTGCATTGAAATATTCACTTAGATTGTTCATCAAGACATCACACTTTGAGAAAAAGGGTAAATCATGCTTACACCATTTTATTTTGGGAATTAATTCTAACCACTCATAAGCCTCCAAGCTGACCTCCTTGAGCATGAGCATCCTAGCCTCATGTGCCTCAAAATAAGTTGCTTTTGCTGCAGCCATCATAAGGTATCTAAACAAGGTTCCTCCTCCAAACTTTTTTTTGAAGTTAGCATACAAGTGCCTTAAACATAACCCGTGTTTATAGGCAGGATACTCCTATTCAAAAACCTGAACAGGACCCTAAACCAAGAAATAATTATTTGCATTAGTATATTCAATTGATTGAAAATTATCATATGGCAAATATTGATGA